GGTAAACCGCGTATTACAACGCGGAGCTTTTTCTCTTCCTCGAGAGCATAGGTGTGATAACCTATGTTTTTCTCCCGCAGGAAGGTGGTGAGACGACGATGGTCGTCAGATGATGGGACTGATACTTTGATCCCTAGAGAGGTAGCCTTAGCATGGCTGAAATTGATATGCTTGTTTTTAAGCATATTGGATACGGTGTTCCAGGCACTTTTGTCCTGGATGATGACGGGGGCGGGGCTTTGGTCTCGGGGTGCGACTTGCGTGCACTCGGACCGGGGGCGGTTTTAGCGGTGCCGTCATGGGCACGCTTTGTTTTGGCTGGCTGGGAGCCCTGGGCCTTCTTGGCACGCTTGTTGCCAACAAGAATAAAATCGTCCTCGTCTGAGGAGACCGGGGGGATGGGAGAGGGGACGTCGCCGTCGCGGATGGCGTCGAGCTCCATACTAGGAGCGTCAAGCTCCGCGACGGAGTCGTCCTGCTCCATGGACGGAGAGGCGGGATCGGCCTGGTCGGCTTGGGTCGGGGGAAGCGGCGGGAGCCGTTGGGAATCGTCCTCGAATTCGTCAGTGTCAGTCTGAGTCATCATTGGGGACGCGGGGGGCGAGCTGTACACTAAGTGCACAGGCTTGGCGGCTTTGAATGCTATAAAAGCATTTAAAATGCCGGGACACTTTTTTTCCAGGAACTGGAAGAACAGAGGCATATCGGCCTCTGATAAGGACATTTTTCATAGAACGGTACACAAAGAAATAGAATAACAATATAAAAATGAGATAAGAGTACTTAAGATAAGGACGGTCGTCGGCGGGTGCAGCCGACGGTGTCAGCGGGGGCCTCCCTGCCGGGTGAGGCAGGGGGGTGAGTGCCTATTGATATGTGACTCTAATATGTAAGATCACTAATCTTATTGAGTGAAAAATGTGTACCTAAGCGAACCTACTTGGTGGCGTCGGTGGCGGGCGGCAGGCAGCAGGCGTCGGCGGGTGTTGGTGGCAGCGGCGGCGGCTCGGATCGGCGCGTCGCGCAATAGGCGTGACGCACCTCCCTAACTCACGACAGTCCGTGCCACTGAACGTCCACACACAACACTTCACTTGAACGAAGAGAGTTCCTCCTTCAGTCCTCACAACACAACACTACACACGCGGAAAGTCCGGTAGCACTGTGTCGGAACGGATGCCGAGAGCGCGGTCGGCCGCGGTCGGCGCGGGACACGGAGGCCCCGGGCCACGCTAGGTGCACCGAGTGCACCTAACACGCGGCGAAGTATAAGAATAAGAACGCGCGAACGTAACTGCGCTACGTGCGCGCGCGCGGTGGTTGCTCGAGGGAGCAGAGAACAGCGAGACGGCGGCGGGACTAGCGAGCACATACGTGCGTTCGCTAGCGCGTCGGTCAGCGGAATGGGGTGAAAGATAGGATAGCTTACATCTCAATTTATAGTCACATAATTATTCAAGAACCTTAGCCACAGCAACGCGTGTCCGGATCTGCTAGTGTATATATATAGAAAGAACGATTAATAGAAGGATACGAGGATTAGGAAAGAATGTCAGAACAAATGGTAACTCGAGACACTGGCACCCGTTGCCTACAGTACTTACATATACGAACAGCATCACCTACCTTGCTATTCCCGACTACTTTAGTCATTTCACGACTTCGCAAATTCACTGTAATTTTCATGTCTTTCAATTTTATGCTCTAATTTTTGATGTCTTAAGAAAGATATTCCCTCATTTGTTCTTGGATAAATGACGTTTATATATTAATAGCTATTATGTAGATTTTAAAATCGCACGTAGATTCTTAAACTCTGGGCCTAATATATCAAAGGATATACAGTTTAATCATTTTTATTTTATTATCTTCCCTCATTTATTCTTCCCGACCTCGGTGGTCTAAAGGTTTAGGGGCGCTTTTGGTCTCGAGTTCGATTCCACGCACGGAACAAACATTTGTATTCATTACTATGATTGTTTGTATCGGTCTGGGTGTTTTCATTATATAATATGTATGTATTTACGAAAAAAAATCTATGTATTTGTATCAGTTATCTAATACCAATAACACAAGCTTTAGCTCAACTTGGGTCTAGATGGTGCTGTGTGAATTGTCCTGAGATTATTATTGTTAGGTATATGAAAATGGGAAAACGGTGTCATTTGTTATTCGTCAAAGTCAAGAATAAGTCAACATAATATTACACAAAAAAATATGTTAGGTATATGCATACTTTGTTAGTTGAGTGCAACGATTGTTTGGGAAGGCATTTTATCTGTATTTATGTAACTAAGTAAAAATCTACGCAACACAGTTTAATACTTTTTGAATGACATTATCATTCAAGTAATTAATCTATTCATCTATTACATATAAATAAAATTGGAGTGTCTGTTTGTAATATTGAAATAACCGTTTTCGTACATGCATATTAACATAAATACGGTACATATACGAAAGTAATATTTTTTACAATTTTTGTCTGTCTGTCTGTTTGTTCAGGCTGTTCTGTGTTCTGTCTCTGAAATGGCTGGACCGATTTTGACGCGACTTTTTTTGGCAGATAGCTGATGTAATAAGGACTAACTTAGGTTACTTTTATTTTAGAAAAATCAAGTTATATTCCATGACGAAGTCGCGGGAACAGCTAATGTAATAATAGTATCACTCTTTATTGCGCATACAACAATATTTACAAAAAGAAAACTATGTAGAAGGAAGGTAAACGATGAATATAACGCGATGAGGGCAAAAAAGACACCGGTATATTTGCAAATTCTTTACAAAACTAATGTCATATATAAAACAATATATTTACATAGTATAAAAGAAAGTCGCTGCCGTTGTCTGTTCGCAAATATATTTTAAATAACGCAACGAATTTTAATGCAGTTTCTAGTAATAGATAGAGTGATTCAAAAGGAAGGTTTATATGTATAATACTTGCGTGTTATAGTATAGATTAGTTGAGAAATTCAAAGATTTGTAATTCCGTGGAAAGCCAGGACGAGTCACTCGTAATAGTTATAAAACATTAACAATACAAAATCATGTTTACCTAAATTGCTTGTAACAAAAACTTTACATAAATGTGTTAAATAAAAGTGCTTTAATCGATCGCTTACTGACAAATTAAATATATATAACTCAAAGGTGACTGACTGACATAGTGATCTATCAACGCACAGCCCAAACCACTGGACGGATCGGGCTGAAATTTGGCATGCAGGTAGATGTTATGACGTAGACATCCGCTAAGAAAGGATTTTGAAAAATTCCACCCCTAAGGGGATAAATTAACGCGAGCGAAGCCGCGGGCAAAAGCTAGTCTAATTGGTATCAGTAATATTGTACACATGTTTCTGTCTGATTTATAAATATATAAAAAAGTCTACCTAGATAAAATAAGGGGCAGGTGATCTACCGGTATGATACCACGCAGATACGAAATTCTTAGCAATCATAAATTCACGGTGCGGGTGCCGGGTTCATCGTATGGCAGAGAGGGAAATTACGGCAAAGTACGTCAACACTCAGCTTCACCGCTCGTATCTCTTCCTGTCCAAATCTGGTAGGATCTTGCTAGTACAGATCTAGATACACGTTCTAGAACTTACTGACGCTATACAACTTACTGCCGATATCTTTTAGAAGATTGTAGACAGATTTCGCTGGTATACCTCTCGCTCCCACTACGACCGCATATAAATAAACCATATAACCATTTCTCGTTAATTAGTTCGTAATATTCATTTATTTAACGGTCTTGGTTATATATTTTTTCCCTTGGTACAGTGAGCTCTTAGTCGTTTAGTCCTCTTTGAAGGAAAAGCAAAATATATGAAATACTAGCTGTGCCCGCGGTTTCACTCGCGTAAAATTTATAGCCTATATTACATTCTGATTTATAAGCTATATTACTGTAAAGTTTCATCTTAAACCGTTCAGTAGTTTTTTCGTGAAAGAGAAACAAACATCTATCCATACTCACAAACTTTCGCATTTATAATATTAGAATATTATATTATCTGTGATATTAGTAAGATAAGTTTTAATGAAGAAATGTAATGAAATCTCCAAATATTAGATATTAACTGCGACGGAATAACCTACCCAGATGGGTGGCTACCAAAACCCCAAACCTGTTTGCCCTCGGAGGAATCTCGAATTGCAAATCTGTACGGGGGGAAATCCAGTTTGACGGAATAAAAAAAATAGTACGACTAACACACGTACGCCACGTTTCGCACTTTTAAACAATACTTCTATGATTGATTAACATCTGAAATGGCTGGACTGATTTTGACGGGACTTTATTGGCAGGTAGCTAATGTTATAAGGAGTAACTTAGGCTAGTTTTATTTTAGAAACATAAAGTTAAATTCCACGCGGACGAAGTCGCAGAAACAGTCTACAATAATATTATAAAGAGGAAAGGTTTGTTTGTTTATATTGAATACTAACTCCGAAACTGGAGCGGTTTGAAAAATTATTTCACCATTAGGAAGCTACACTATCTCTGGGTGGCATAGGCTACATATATAATATTTCCAAAAAAATAGACTTTCTTACTGAAACTCCAATAATCTAGTAATTCACGGTGTAAAAAAAATACATAATAATGTCTTAGATACACCGCGTGTGCGAAAACTATTGATGATAAAACAAAATAATGTACTAATAGTCCACGTGGCCGAAGCCGCGGGTGGAAAGCTAGTCACTTAATCATATATATAAAAAAATTGTAACATTTCTCATAAGCAAACAGTTTCCAGAAAGTATATCTAAAAACCTTGAAATACCAAATCTCAATTATCAAATCATATCATTACAGTTTCTATATTTCTATTGCTAAATCTGACAATATTGATTAAGGATTAATTATAGATCTAAAAAGATAAACAGACGTTATTTACAATGACTGATATTACGAAAACCTACATCGTATTTAGCAGAACGGGGCAACGGCAGTCTATTAGGCGACAACGAGTCGTTCGGTCGTGTCGTATGGTTTAATTAATTAAATTAATTAAAAAACGCGCGTAATGATTTTTAAATGATTTTAATGACATAATAATGATTAATAAATAATAAAATTGGTATTTCGAGAAATAACTATGAGAAGTGCATCACGATATAGTAATTTTAATGTGTTTTATTATATACCGTGTGTAAATTTCATTTTATGACCGAGTATTTTTGTGATCATTTGAGTTTTTATAATGGTATGTATTTAGTAGATAATATAGTAGTTAGTAGTTTTAATACTAGTATATTTTATTCATATTATAAAGGTGATTATTTGTCAGTAAGGATGGATAGATGGCTATTTGTTACTCTTTCACACAAAAACTACCGAACGGATTTTGATGAAATTTTACAATAATATAGCTTATTCATCAAAATAAAACAGGCTATAAATTTGATGCGGGTGTAACCACAGGCACAGCTAATGTAGTATAACAGGAAAGTTAAGAGAAAATAAAGTGAAATCGTACAACCAAACATGTTTAAAACATGAGTTCTGCGTATTGAAGTACATATGCGATTTTGACAAGCAATTATCAACATTTGAAATCAAAATGACAGATGAATTACTTTTTAAAAGTATAATTTTATTGACAGCGTCGGTGGTTTAGTGGTTTTGCTTTCGGATTTCTGTTAGTCGCGGGTTCGATTCCTCGCACGTTACGAATGTATTCATGAGTATGCAAATGTGCATAGAGGTTAAGCCTTTTTGCTTCGTAGTTAAATAAAAATAGCAGGTAAATCCGGAATGTATTGCGGGAAGGACGAGGCACCAGGCTAGGCGTATAATATACAGTTGCCATAGCAACGCATCGGTGTTAGTGTCACGTGCGTAGATATTGTTTTTTATTGGCTTGGATACATATCTTTTTGCAGGCTGTATGGTATAGAAACCTTTGCCTGTTTAGATGATTTTTTTATGTGATGGCAAACAAGCTAACGGTATACCTGATGGTAAGTGGTAAATTTTGCCTATACATGAACCACTATCACGTTATCATGCGACACCCGTGATACTGCACATTGTTCCAGAGTCCTAACATATCATGTAATTTCACGTATAAAGTATCCTTCATATAATATTACTATTAATATATCTACTATAATATTTAAACTCTTCAATTTTACCTCTTATAAAGAGGTATTTGTTGAATAGTCACATCAAAGAAATCTTTAGAATAGAATAGAATAAATGATTTTCTATTCTATTCTAAAGATAGTTTCTGGAACTATTGATCTGTTTATTAAAATTCTTATAGTGTTGTGCCCATTTATATGAGAGATAGAGAAAGGCTATATAATATCACGCTACTACACATAGGAGCGGAGCTGAAACTAAAAATATCGCAATAACTGGAAATATGTAATGCAGACCAAATTGCGTGGGTCACGTAGTCTAAATATATATAACTCAAAGGTGACTGACGTAGTGATCTATCAACGCACAGCCCAGACCACTAGACGAATCGGGCTGAAATTTGGCATGCAGGTAGATGTTATGACGTAGGCATCCGCTAAGAAAGGATTTTGATTAATTCTACATATAAAATATAAATAAATAAAATAGGGATAAAAGTTTATATGAAACTTTGTCAATTTTAAACCGACTTTGCATGCATAAAGCTACTATGACGTAGGCATCCCCTAAGAAAGGATTTTGATAAATTCCACCCCTAAGGGGATAAATTAACGCGAGCGAAGCCGCGGGCAAAAGCTACTTTGTGATAAACACAAAATATTCTATAGGACTGATATTAAGCATTATTTCATTCATAGGAAGATAATTTATTAGCGAGTAACATGGGATATACCTACCTAGTTTATATTTAAAAAAAGGTACCTTTATTTATGGTATGCATATGCCAAGCAGGGGCGGGTTGGTAGTCGTAAATAGGAAACTTATGTAGTTGTTTGTCTGTTTATTGCGTTTTCAGAACTATACGATTATACACAATGTACAGTAAAGTCAAGAAAACATACAAAGTAAATACACAATTACATGTATCAGTTAAAATATATAATTTAAGTATAAACAACAAGTGAGTGACGTGGAGTGTGCATCGCGTATATGCAAACAAGGCGGTACTGTATTGTTTGTGCAAGCAGCAAACCTACCTAATGTTAAAAGTGTTTTATTAAAAAAAACAGTAGGGATAATTAAAAAAAAACATTTATTCGCAAGAAGAACTCGCAAGAAACTCAATTGAATTTTTTAAAGCCAGTTTTACAATGTATATTTATATAGGTGTCTAACATTAAATGAAAATCCCGTGCATGAACAACAATTGCCATGCACGCTCGTCATTCAAGTAATCGTTTAGTGAGTAATAGGTTTTGTTCAGTAAATATGATTTAACAGATGTTTTGAATTTACTGAAGGGTAATTCCAATATATCCTTATAATTGTGTATAGGGGGGCCAATAGCCGATTTTGCAATGGACGGATTCACAAAACTCCAATAATCATCATCAGCTTCTTACTCATCCCATTTATTTGTGGTCGGCGTAAAATTTTTCTCTTCCATACCTGTTCGCAGTAGCCTTGTTATTAATTCCCTTTCTTATCACCTTTCACACAGTCCATCCATCTTTTTCAGTCTTCCTCTGCCTTTATAACCATCCGAATTCGATACTCATAAGAATATACTAATAAGAAACTCCGATAATTATTATATATACTATTAAAGGATTTTCCTTGATGGGGTTTTTAAAGAAAAACTTATTTAAAGAGCACGCGAGACTGAAGGCAACCGTTTATGTCTGAGAGTGAGTACAGACTGGCTTTGGTTTCCATGTTATCTAAGTTCCAAGTGAGCCAGATCCTGACCCAGCAAGGTCAGGTGACCTAAAAAAGGCAGCCGTCTAAAAGTATAGAAAGAGTTTTTTTTTAAAGAAAATCTTGCCTATTCTATCTTTGTCGTTTGTTCAGTATTATTATTTAGTATAGTTATTCAGTATTTCAGTATTTGACTCGGACATTCGACGTATGATGTTCTTCGTAATCCCCTTAAATTGCTCATAAGAGTCAATGTAAAGCCTAACCTTAACAGTGACCTTTACAGTGCGAACTTTTTTTGCAAATAACCTCTTAACAGGAAATTACCAGTGCCTGCGATTTCTTCTGAGGAAACCTTAACCGAATAAAGGAAAAATATTTAATAATCTAACCCAAAAAATTTCATCGTACTAACTTCAAAAATAACGAATATCCATAAAAACTTTCCTTCCTTATTTTAAGGCTAATTTTTTTATAAACTTTGAATTTATATTTAATCAACAGCCTAAACAATAAGTTAAATGCTTCTGGCTTTAAAAATGACTATATTTCCATACACCTTACATCTTCCCTTTCAACCTCTAAACTTTTGTTGTCCTTTTTCAGGGTTTAGACTATCTATGTACCAAATTTCATTTAAATCGATTTAGTAATTTTGGTGTAAAAGCAAGACAGAGAGAGTTACTTTAGTATTTATAATATTAGTAAGAAAGTAAGGATTGACAACTAAACAAAAGTGTAAATACCGCTAAATTCGTTAAAATTTTATCAACGAAATCGTGATTAACTTTGCCTAATTTTAGATGTTTATATTTTCCTTAAACGACTGGAACTACTACTAGTTACATAACGGTTTTATACCTTAATTTAACCAAGACACAGTTTTATAATTGCTAAATGAGACTTTATTGTAAACTGAGAAATTATCTTATGGCTTACAAGTGCTCTATAGTGAGTACATTGCATTGTAGTGAGTTCGACCTTGTGACATCTCGGAATTTTATGTTTTGAATGCGTAATTGTTACTCGTTTATACCACAGTATATAAAATGATTATCTTTATTATTGTAGCGTACCGTTTTTCGATCTATTCTAATGCTGTTGGCCGCAGCTGGCCTCCAAAACCGCTGAAGGACTTACGGAGCGGATATTTACTGACCCGGTAAAGGTTATTTTGCTATATAAATTTATATCACTATTAAAAAATAGGTGTTGATGGTAAATAATTTAGGGTTGTATGAATTTTTAATGCCGAGTCATACATCCTTATCATTACTAATACTTACTAATATTATAAGCGTAAGTAACTTTGTGTGTTTGTTTCTTTTTCACGCCAAAACTACAGAACCTATTTAGATGAAATTTGATACTAGACCCTGAGAATGGACATAGGCCACTTTTTAATGCGAAAAAAGAGTTGTAAGTTTTTACTTACAACTCTTTTGTCGCATTAAAAAGTGCTTGGGATATAAAAGAAAGAAAGAAAAAAGAAAGAAAAATATTTTATTTAGTGCAATGTAAAAAATACAATATAAACAGCAAACGAAAAAAAAGAGCAAATAAAATGTACATATGATTAAACTGAGATGAAAGGTTATGTGGAAGAATGTCGTCATTTTTAAAGCTATAAGCTTGAAACTTATTTTTTAGGCTGTTGATCAAATATAAATTAATATGACATTCAAACTTTGTTAAACTGTTATCCTTAAGGGGGTAAAATAAAATATGGGAAGAAAGAAAGTTCGCATGGAAAAAAGTCATTTTTGAAGTTAGAAGTATGAAAATTTTTGTTTGGTTTTATTGGGTTATATTATTAAATATTTTTTAGTAATATAGGTCAAGATATTCCACGCAGACGTAGTCATGGGTACAGCTAGCAATGAAATAAATTACAGCTATTAAAATACATTTAAGTAATTTTTTTCATAAGGAAAATCCGTGATGAATGCTCGTTCGCCATAAACCAATGGGTAGTGTAGAACTCCTATCGGCTAACAACCAGATTCTATAGCTCAAATCATGGACGAGAGGCGGGAATAAATAATTTTCCGCTCCAACACGTTCTCGTCTTACAAATATTACGAATACAAAGTGTTAAAACATATGTATCAGTAGCGAGCGATACCTCATGTAAATTAGTTTACTTCTCAAGGTTACTGTTTAATTTATTCATTTATTTCGGATATTCATCCATATTATTAGTTAACAACTTATAAACTACTACCTTTTGCCCGCTGCTTCGCTCGCGTTAATTTATCCCCTTAGAGGTGGAATTTGTCAAAATCCTATCTTAGGGGATGCCTACCTTATAGTAGCTTTATGCATGCAAAGTCTCAGCCCGATCGGTTTAAAATTGACAAAGTTTCATCCCCAATTTTAATCCCTTGGGAGTAGAATTAATCAAAATCCTTTCTTAGCGGA